CTTCCAGTCTTCAGGGTCGTCTTGAATGATGCAGAGCGAATCGATCCAGAGGTACCCAATATCGAGACTTCGTGTAACGTTGATAGCATCCTGAAACGTTCGGGGGAGCTCCGTCAGCTTGATTTCCTCTTTGAAGCTTTCAAGGTTTTCCTTCAAAGTGCAGAATTTTCTATGTTGGTCTGGAGCACCCCATCGATGCGATAGAGCGAGATATCTTCCCGAGTTCGTTTGCCCACGGTCTGCGCAAAGCAAGCGGCATGATTCGGCGCCCTCGGATCCAACGTCGATAACCCTTGTTGGAAGAAAGGTGGTGTCGGATGCTGGGCTACAGTCATGCGTGTCGTCGCAGACCCGTATCCACGTCGATAGCGCTGCGATATGCGCCTGACTACCGGCAGCCGAAAGCACTGGCATTGCCATCTGTGCACCAGGAAAAGGTTTTCCTTTAACATAAACTTAGCACGAGATAAATCGATGAAACAAACGAAGGTTGTTCTAACCTGGCAAGCTGTATAGAACTGCAACTGGCCGTCCGAGTTTCACGTTGGATGTCAAATAGCTGTCGAGCTTTTCGAATTTGATCTCCTCGTATATCTTGGCTGCCATGGATCCAAGTGAAAAGCGAAGGAGGCGACAGAGATTACAGGCTTCTGCTCTCCTTACTAGCGCTTCGAGATTATCAGAAAACGAGAATCTTTGTGATCTGAGTCGCTGTTGGAGGTCTTTGCATCGAAGACAGAGGGTGCTGGTCGTATTTTTCAGTGGAAGCTGACGCGAAATGTCGATCTCCTCAGACAGCGCTCGTGCTGTGTTGACATCTGGGCTACACTCCCACTCATTATCAAGCTAAGAAAACGTTACTGATTTGAACTAGTAGCTCTTCTCGAAATCGTAAGAAGCTTACCGGCTAGATAGAGTTGCATTGTCAGGACATGAAAATCAGGCCACCGGATATCAGATTTGTAGGTAAATATTTGAAGCTTGAGTGTCGAGACATACCGTCTGTTACATCAGTGACAATTAGTAAAGATCACATTTTGCTGGCGACTGAGAACGTACAAACTAGATGAGATGTCAGCTCTTGATATCAATATCCGAAGGTTGTTAGAGCATAACCAATACCATCTATGCCGTGCAAGAAAGTGTTTAGCCAAGATCGCACACACTTAGACCACATCGGGCAAACGTACGTACTGTCGATGTCAGTATACAATATTGCATAATGTGGAATACGGGACTTTTACATCATCAGAATGGCCACTGTCACCTGCACCCGCCAATCCGGCGTCGATGTCTACCAGGGAATTGGTTATTGGAGGAGAACGAGATCCTAGGAAAGTTACTCTTCACCTCATGCATTAACGCCGCGTCGACCCCTCATACCTAGTTGAGAAACACCCAAGGTATCTCCGTATTGTCCTGGCCCTCCTGGAGAACCCGCCTGCCAATTCATCCAAGCAATTCTTGGCGGTTTCCCCGAAGCATCTTTGATGATGCCAGCCAGCGTTTCGTACATTTCGATAGAAGTCGCTCGATAACGAAGGTCGTCGGCGGGATCGCCGTTAAAGCTGCTGTTGGTGTCCGATCGAATAATGCTCGGGTTATCTGGGCCATCTGTCGAGTGTAGAGTGATGCTGCCTCGGACACTGTCGCTTCCAGACGACTCTTTCCTCGTCAGCTTGCTTACCTTTATGACTAGCAATCGTGTGCAAATGAGCTCTAGTAACTTTCGAATTGCAGTGTTCGGTGGGCATCTCGGGTCCCTTCTGATCCAATCCATCCACTTCTGAACACCGGGCTTGATGCTAGCCGCTCCGGTTACACCAGATCCATGTACATCGAAGAATTGCCGTGTTCTGTTCACGGGATGTGTTATGTCATCCCCAAATCGAAGCAGTTCGGCCTTTCCATAAAGGAGCCAAATCAGGAACTCGAAGTAGATACAGCCGATGGACCAGACGTCATAACGTCGCGACCTTGGTAGTTTCTTAGTTAGCAGCAGTACGGCTTCAGGTGGCTCGTACATAACCGTTCCGTTCATCGTGCGTGTAGCTTCGTTACGCATCTCCGTCGCTAAGGTGTGAACTTTAGCCAAACCAACATCCGCAATGACGAGAAACGGCTGGGAAAACGGGTCGGAGCTCGTGGTGTTCTCAAAACAAAGGATATTCTCTGGCTTCAGGTCCCCGTGTCGACATGCGGAGTCCTTTGTCGAATGAAGCTTATTCATCGCACCAGCCAAGCCACAGAGCTGACCAAGAGCCCAGCGAACAAAATCTGCATCTAGCTTACGAGGAGGCTCTCTTCCCCAGTAGTCTCGTAGGTTACCACCTCCCGCCCACGGGAAAATAATAAAGTACCGATCACCCCTTTTGTAGTAAGCAATTGCCTTGATGAGGTGCGGATGCTTCATTTCGCGGATCATATGTAAAACTTCTGCCTCAGCCTCGGCGGCACGCTCGTACTCGTCAGGATTCATGTTGACATTTTTCAGCTCTTTCACTGCTACAATGGGATGTCCATTTGTGTCGACTGACAGGCGCTGTATCATGTGAGTGTCGCATCCATGAAGCCCCGGGCAATGCGTTTGTCGTGGGTTTGTGTGCACTCACAAGTTTTGAGCTCTTCTTGAAATGAGACTGATGAATAGACCACTTTCCCACGGTGCTGAAATGACTTTCTCTGTGCCCACCAGGTTGCTCCAAGAACGGCATTCGGTGTTCCTTTCGAAAGGAGTATCTGAATTGATGTTCGTTGAAGACCGGTCCGAGGAATTGCCATTGGTTGTCACAAAAGAGGTACGGCGAAATAACGAATGCCCAAAACTTGTCGGCAAAAACCCTCTTGGTGATCTCAGAATGGCCAGGTTCAGCGGATCGGGTTTTCACTTGCTTGCTTTCATCGATGAAGAGAGGTAGAATAGAGTCGACAAAATTGTGCTCGTAGAACAAGTCAATCCGTTCCGGGCGACTAAGGCAGGCAAGAACCGCGAAAACTCTCCTGGCCCCGGGCTTTCCACAAACGAAGGAGGCGATCTTTGATATCGTCTCTGGAGACTTGTTCGTTTGATATGATAGGGTGTCTTTGACCAACTGCGTAGTGACCTGCTTTTCCAAGATGGAGTACGGAAGAAAGGTGTTACCTCCGCATGTTCCTGCAGGAAGCTGTGCCGAGACTAGCTGGCCCTGAAGATCAGCCATCTCGTCGCTCTGGCCACTTTCGTTACTACCTCTCCGAAGACTGGCAAAGGACGACTTCTTCCACAACTGAGATGTTACACTCGATGTTCTCCTGGCATATATAGTGATTGAAGACACACGGCGCGATATGTGGTCAGGCGAATGCCCTAGGTTCTCGTCTTTATGCTGTGCGTTTACTACTCGAGTTTTCTGAAGAGGCTGCTTGTGAGCTTTTTTGACTCGGCAATTATGCTCAGGTGCTTCTCCCTTCTTTGGCTACACATTCAGCTATATGTCTCCAACATCTGCATCTTGGCACGCCAATGGGTACTACTCACATGTGATGATAACCAATGACCACCACACAGAAATGGTAAGCCTCGCATTTCATGAATACTTCAGCAACTTGCATAGCCTCCACATCATACATGCAGACGAAGTTGGATCTTGCGCGATTCGACTTATCCAGAGCATGCTGCAACGTACTTATGCAGATACGAATTGATGGGCTGACTAGTTGATGTTTGCCATTTTCCGTATCAGATTACGGTCTTCCCCTCCTTTGCTCGGTAGCACACCCTCCACGACTACTTTATTGGCCCTGGTTGCCTTTTGGTGTACACCCTTTCGCTTCGACCCAGGCCCAAAACTCGATTTCTCATACACAACGTCCACATTCCAACCAACGGCATGATGGTACTTGACCTCTGCATGCCACCAAAGCTGGCGCGCGTGGTTCGCCCGCTTGCCGCATAGACCAGGCTAGATCAGGCTCGGAGTCGAGGGGAAACCAACTTCTCCAGACTCCGCATGCCTACTGCGACCTTTAACCGATGCGTACATTGCCAATTGTGTGATGGCTCGGTGGAGCCAAATCAGGAAGCTGTCAGCATTGGCCAAGAGTTCATGCTAACACTTCCCAACCCCGTCCGAGCAGATCATGGTTAACTGAACTCTACTTTCACTTCGGGATAGGCGGAATATTGAAAAGAGTTCCGAAGAAGATCGACGCGGACAAGGGGGCATGCCATAGTAATGAACTAGAAGTTCCAGATCTCCCAAACTCTCGCGTTACCTGCTGGTATCCGCAGGAACGAAAAGGCCTAGCAGTGCAGATTTTCTTTGGGATCAGGCTGTGGGCATGGCAACTAAACCACTGATATGCATGTACTGCGATGACGTGAGTCTGCTCAAAGTTGTGCGTCGGTGCAGCCAAGGAGGCGGGGTAAGTGCATCTTATCTTCTGAGAGAACCTGCAGACTTTTTCCAACGCCAAATCAGGCTGAACCGAGCAGCTTATCTCCTATGTTGTGTGGAGTGTCATGATCAGAATTCATCATTGGACCACGATGCCATAGTGGCGGTCTTCATTCTGCCGCACACATGAAAGGGGTGCCAACTGATCCCGGGCATCCCCGACTATAAGACTGCGGATCAGCGAAGCAGCTTCCAGAGAGACTTCGGATGTATCTTAGATCATCCGTTTATGTACCAAGTGTACAAGGGCTGTGTCAAAGACAGGTCATTGGAGCGTGATGATCTCGAAGCAACGGCCCGGAAAGACGTGAGAAACTGGAGTCCCTTCGGCAGTTACGCTGACAGTTACTTCGGCCTGGAGGATGCTTATGTGGCTGCCTTCATGGTCGCCTGAATTTGGCAGCCTGTTCTATCTCGTACAGTCGCTGATCGTGGCTCATGCTCAGACTTTCATAAGACCCCGCGATTGTCGGTGGGCTGTCCTGTTGAACCCAGCCTTCAACCCCAACCATTTGCGAATGCGATCCATGAGCCAGACATCCAGACAAGGTGTCTCAACGAGCAATGAATTCTCAAGCTCTTCTTTCAAGTTTGAAAGAGTCCCTTCAGTATTCTTCTATCGTAAGCCAGGAATTCTTGCCAGTTAGCAGTTTGAATGATGTCATCACCAAGGAGAAAGTTCAGAATGAGCTCCCCACAAACCTCATGAATAGGCTGTTTTCCGATAGCCTCCCAAGCAAAATCTCGATGAACGCAAGACGAATCTTTGCAATTCTTGTCATGATCGGAGAGCCTCAGGCAATTCGAAAGCTAGTCGATGATGGTCTTACCGACGAAGATTTACCCCTTGCTAGGCCAACTCATGACAAGTACAGCGGTACTTTGGAATCCAAGGGAAGACTGGAAGTCAAGTCGTTTAAACACTGGAAAAATGAAGCTAAGGTGGATATGTTTCTGGAAAAGCAGTGGCTCTTCCTCGCCCCAAAACTAGATGTCACAGGGACATCAACAGTCTTTCAAGTGGATTCAAAATGTCCGCTGCCATTCTTAAGAGCAACCGAACTTCGGGGTGAACACAGCAATGTTGTCTACAAGAGCGAGCTACATGCGGCTCACCAAACCGGTTCTGGGGTGAGTCCGAGTCTTCTGCAGAAGTACAACGACGTGCTAATGATCGAGATGCAAAGGCGCAAGACACGGACATGGTGGTTGCAGTCAAGATATTTCGCAACTCTGAGGGCTCGACCTTGTTCGATCAGGAAAAGAAGAACCTCCTGAAGACGCAAGGTATCAACGACAAACATCTCATACGATACTTATTCTTCTGCCAGAGAGACCAGTCTTACTTCATAGCCTTCCCATGGGCAGAAGGAGGGAACCTCCAAGAGTTCTGGATGTCACATATCTCAAACCAGGAGTACATGTTGTGGTCTTTGCAGCAGATGCTTGGAATAAGTGGCGCCCTCCGGAAGCTGCATGACATCAATTTCCGTCATGGTGATCTCAAGCCCGGAAATATCCTCCACTTCTCTAATGGCGGGCTGGGTAATCTTGTCATTGCAGATGTCGGGATTTCCAAGGTTCACAAAGCTGCGACATATATGAGATCCATGAGTACCCTCACCAGAGCTACTACACCTTCGTACGAGCCACCAGAAGCCATCCTGAAGACAAATAAGCCTAGGCCTCGCAGATACGACATTTGGTCAATGGCATGCATATATCTCGAATTTGTCATCTGGATGGTCTACGGGGTCAATGCCATCAACAGCTTCGCCGAATCCAGGGAAGAAGGGACGCCACTTCAGAGAACTTCCAACTTTTACGCGCTTCGGGGAAACGTTGCGGTGATTCATCCCTCGGTAATCGAAGCATTTGCAGCTCTGCGAAAGGATCCCCGTTGTGGAGGTGGCACAGCGCTAGGAGCCCTGGTCAATCTAATCACCCGGCACTTGCTCTTGATTCAAGTGGAAGATCGCGTCACCGCAGACACTATGTACAAAAAGCTTGAAGAAATTGTCCACCGCGCAACCAAGGACCCCTCTTTCATAATGAACCAAGCAATATCTTCTCAAGAAACTCCAGCTATATTTGGGCGGCCAGTTGAGATTCCTCCGGGACTGAGAACTGCCACCAGCTGGTAGCAGCAAGAGACTTAATGTGGAGGATATGTTTTACTGCTTGAGTATGCTTATGTATGGCTTGGATTTTCGACAGATGATATTTATTAAGGCACTGTTTTTCCTTCTACCTTTTCTTTTCCTTTTTTTATCAACTCATTGGCGCATTTCCGACATTCGAAACGATATGTTCAACTTCGTTTCCAAGATAGCCTTACTCCCGTAAAGTAATAAGTACACGAACAGGCACCAAAGCCTACCATGTAACCGACAAGCATTCGCTTATGATTCTTCCTCATCAAAATGACACACAATTCGCTCGCAAGGTTTTCATTGGGACTAGCACGTGATGGTCGTTAAGCGTAACTCGTTCTCGAAGGTGAAGTGGTCAAAGAAATCAATCGCGCCTTCTTTTATTGTCCACCGTAATCTTGATTCCATGCACTATCACAAAAGTGAGCTGGGGATTTAAACCCAATGTTGAGGCCTCTAAGATATTGCACAACAGGTATTTCCTGTCAAACCACTTAATTCCCTCGTGGCTCGTTCACCGATAGCGCAGTCGTGGAAACCCGGGGCTATTACACGCTGAGCGGCGTTTAGCTGGGCGAGACATGGGGCTGGAGGATCCCGGAATCGGAGCTCGGAGTACGGGCACGAAATGAGGACTTGGCACTCTGCACGTTTCACGGCGTTCAGTCTACCTTACAGACGATAGGTGGCCTATCACCAGGTGCTTGTTGAGGTTGTTCTATTCTTGATAACGACGGTGCTGTTCCTGACGCGAACAAGTCCTTCAGCGCTCGGAATATCTCATCAGACTGCTGCGCGGTTTGTCTCGAGGCGAATGTCCTTGGGTATTGAGATTCACCGCTGGACTGAGAAAGGTCAAGTTGAGAGAAGACCAGCAGCTGTACGGGCTCATCGCTTGCACGGTCAAGAGCGTAGCTAGATTTCCAAATTCAAAGTTTCGTCCTGTAAGAACTTTGTGAAGAGATCTTAAACTCCGGCACGCCTCAGCCTCGTTCAAATTTCCTTCTAGACTGAATGACTCTAGTCTTCCGTCTTTGGTGTTTTGTAAGCGCTAACACGGTTGAGCGTTTAGACACCCGTGTTCGTCGCCGACAACTGATCTTATTCGAATGTATAATCAAGTTATAATTGCACGCAGACTCTGGTTCAACGCATTTCGGATCATCTTCCGTGCCTTGCTTGAGAGATTTATTGGAGAATTCTTTCCAGACAGCTCCGATACTATGCAAGGGTTCCTCGACTTGTCGAAATCTCCCAATAACTTTAGTCAACACCGGTTTAACTAGGAAGGACCATGGAAGCAAGTCAAAGTCCGGCACAACGCACTAACTTAACCACCCCCCTTGATTTCCAATTTCGAACATGCCTTCGCACATACTTTACCAAATTTCTACCGGTCTGAACAATTGTGGCGTGGCTGTATGAATCATTCAGTTCGGACACCTCGTCTTGGGATGAAGTATTTTCATATCTTGGTCAGGCAAAAACACGTCCCCCTTTTTCCCAGCTCCTTCAAGGGAAGAAAAAACTTGTTCATCATTTCGCTAGCATCATGATACAAAATTTCCGTTGCTCACGTGTAGTGGAAACCCTTACCGGTCGGTCCAGGCACGTGGGGACCAGCTACATGACTCAGGCGACTGAGGTCCAAGTTCTTGTTCTTTGAAAGGGGTTGCCACTCATGACCTAAGCCTCCCGGCAATTCTAGAGTCTAGACCGCGCTCCCAGCGGACCGCGCAAACCAAACATAGCGCCGAAATCGAACATGTGGTTCTCGATGAGGCGGTAGAACTGGGCATGAAGTGATGGGAAGACCCTTGGTTTAAGCCCCTGACGGAACAGATATTTACGGCAGCAGAGACACAAACAAGATCTCTGGTTGGCCGAGCTCGGATGACAGCAAGCTGCAGCGAATCGGGTGCTTCCGAGTGGGAACCACACCATCGAGGGGAACTCTCGAGTCTTATGCAGGATCTTCGGGTTGGCCCTAAGGCCATCCTACGGCACTAGTTTTCTTGCAACCTCATAGACAACTCCGTGATATTGTGTCATCTCGACCGATATGGCGGTTTATCACCATTTCCGAAGGCCAGCACATCATCCGAAAGACGCGTCAAAGAGAAAAGGGAAACCCCATGACGACATGTGCATAGTTCCATATTGCATACCATCCGCAAGCCAAGGCCGCGCAGGGACTCACAGGGAGTCCCCTGGCGAATGACGGCAAGCATCCCGATTTTGTTAGGTAATAGGAAGTCGGGCCCTAACGAACTTGCGCCAAAACATGGTGTGCTAGCACGTTCATGGAAATTCGATCTGCTGCTTCTCGTGGAGCGGTTTCGGCCCAAGTGGAGTTTGATGGATACGAAAAAGTATTTCCGGTATGAGAACCTTTCTAGGCACGCCAGGTTACCGGAGGGTCCGGGTGACAAGTTGCCGACTTCGTGAACCGCCGGTCCGGTTCTACTTATAAGAAAGGGGTCTTCCCCCATACTTTTCCCCACGATCCACTTGTGCCTCCCAGAAGGTCAGAATTTTTCTTTGGTAATATATTGTGCTTTTGTATCTTGCTTTTCTACTTCTTCTCTCGGCTCCATCCTGCTCCGCTGCCAAGTTGGAAGATACTCGCTCGCTTGCTGACCGTCGATGCAATGGCGGGAATCTCACAGTCCTCTCCAGATGATGACCCTGGTCCCGAGCCCGGCGGCATCGGCTCGGCCTCTACGGCGGCACTTGAGCCGGTGGAATCCGCTTCCGAGCCAACATCTGGCTCCGACACGGCCGGGACAAGCATGCCTTCCGAGGCCGCAGCTGCAGCCGCCCTAAGGAAAGAGAAAGGCCGCGTCCGATTTAACAGCAATGCGGCCGCGACCAAGCCTCCTACATCACCACCAGCAGTTCCAACTACACCCAAGCTTGCTCCGGCACAGCCTACCAGACCATCTATCCTACGAGGTGGTTCCGGCAGTTCCATTCCTACCGTGGCTACTTTCGCCAAAGAGGAACCCCATCCGCCGGATGAGAATGAACGCCAAGAGGCCAAGTCTGCCGCGGCAGCTGCTCAAGAGCGAGCCCGGCAGATGGCTGAAAATGTTCACTACGGCTCGCCAACGCGCGAAAACCGAGACTCACTCGAGTCCGCTACTACCACCACCGCAAGCGAGTATGACCTCGGAGGAGGAGAGGGAGCCGGAGGATACATTGCTCTCCAAGATCTCCATTCCCGCCAGCCACTCAATGTCGATTCAGCCGAGGCTGAGAAGAAAGCTCACGAGCACCATGCCGCCCTGAACGACGAGGCTTACAAAATTGTAAGAGCTCACACCTGGCGCCTCGCCGAGAAACCCGAGAGCGTCGCCGGTCCATCCAACGCCCAGGAAGCAGACATCCACAAGGTCACCGAGCATCTCCTACAAGAGATCAACGATGGTCAATACGATGGTGTTTACTCTGTCCCTGCGCCCACGGAGTACCGCGGTAGCGTTCTTTCGCAGCTTTTAAAGCTGTACAAGCCTGCGGAATCAGGCAATCAGTACCAGTCGTCCGGGCAGACCAATCGCAGCTCCGTCACCTCTTTCTCCTTTGGTGGACCGCTGCCGGGAGCGGGCACGCCGGGCTCCAACTCAGGCACCGCGACCCCCACGACGCCCAAGAAGAAGAAGTGGTACGAGGCAAACCGCTCCCAGGAGACTCTCGTCAACCTCATCGAAGCCTCGGCCCGCCTCGCCAACCCTAATACGCAAGGAAAGACTGACGAGTCACCCAAGAATGGCAAGGCGGCTGGTAAGAAGACACGGCCGAAGCATAAGCGAACCGCCAGCAACTCCATCGCTGCGTACCTGGCCAGACAAGAAGAGGAGGCCAAGATTACTGTCCACATCGCTGAGACGCTTTCCAGACAAGAGTATATCATCACACTTTGCAAGGCTTTGATGCTCTTTGGTGCACCAACGCATCGTCTCGAGGAGTACCTCAGCACAACGGCCAAGGTCCTTGAGATTGATGGTCATTTCCTGTATCTCCCAGGATGCATGATCGTCTCTTTCGACGATCGGTCCACTCATACAACCGAAGTCCGTATCGTCCGCGTAGCCCAGGGTATCGACCTCGGAAAGCTCAGAGACGCGCATCACGTCTATAAGGAAGTCATTCACGATGTCGTCAGCGTCGACGAGGGCATTCAACGATTGGACACCCTCATCAAGGCCAAGGACAAGTTCCACGCCTGGATCCGAGTTCTTGTCTTTGGCCTGACCAGCGCCACGGCTGCCCCCTTCTCGTTCGGCGCTCGCATGATCGATCTCCCGCTATGCTTCTTCTTTGGCTGCCTCGTCGGCTTTCTGCAGCTCATCGTGGCTGCCAACTCCAAGCTATACAGTAACGTCCTCGAGGTGACGGCTACCGTCCTGGTAAGTTTCTTGGCACGAGCCTTCGGCAGTATCAAGGGCGGCGAGCTCTTCTGCTTCTCGGCCCTGGCCCAGGGAGGCATCGTCATGCTTCTACCTGGATACCTAGTTTGTAAGTGACCTCTTCGCACTACCTACCCCATCGTGATGTTCCGCTCGAGCTGTACCTCCTTTTTCTCTGCGCTTCTCGCGTACGTGTTGGGGATGCTACTTGCCTACGGGCACCAAAAACCTAGGACAAGCCGCTGATGGCCCAGTGTGTTCCGCCCTCGAGCTCCAGTCCCGCGCCATCGTCCCCGGTTCGATTCGCATCGTCTACGCCATTATTTACTCCCTCTTCCTCGGCTTCGGCATCACGATCGGCGCTGTCCTCTACGGCATGTTCGACGAAAATGCCGTCTCCACGACAAGCTGCACCAACTCGATCCCCACTTACTACACCTTCATCTTCGTGCCCCTTTTCGTCCTCTGCATCAGTGTCCTGTATCAGGCAAAATGGCGCCAGATGCCTGTCATGCTCGTTGTTGCCTTCGCCGGCTACATTGTCAACTACTTTAGTAGTTTGCGCTTCAGCGCCGCACCACA